TATATATATATATATATATAGAGAAATTATGATTTTTTTGCTAGGGTCTGTACCAAACAAACATGATCCTTTACATCTGAAGAATATGATTTTATGGGCATCTCTGCAGAACCACAATGCTTCATTTATACTGGGATGTTGTGACACATTTTCCTTTAAACATGAAAGATTATAATTGTTTGTGTGATATAAGCTTAAGCACATTGTGTTAGTTTATACTAATGACTTAAAGTCAGATCATATTTTATGGCCAGTTAATGCAGAAAATCAGGTATTTCCAATTTTTTTTTCTCATCACTGTATGTGTATGTCTTTTTTCAGTGAATATAAAACGCACATTTTTATTCTAAAGAATCATTCCAGTCACCCTCAGCCTTTTTAACTGGCCTTCCAATAGTATCACAGAGGATTATTGTCAATAAATTATCACAAGATCTAGCAAACAAGTCACACATTAAACAAGGTCCCAGCTGCCACAGCAACCGCATTACATCTTGTAATAATGACAGCGTCACAGTCTGGTGGAGAGAGACTTAGATTCAACAGTGGGAGCAATGATCCATTTTGTTGTCATTGAGCTGCAGTGGAGACCTGCTCCTGTAACACCAGAGAAGAACCGACTATGGAGTCAGGCAGTCCTGTTATGAGGCTGTGTGATACATGAGGAATTTTTCATTTTCATAAAGCAGGCCAATTAGAGGGTGGGGAAAGGTCACCTCAAACATTGATTGAAAAAGTTACTAGGGATGTAGCTTTAATTACTTTCTTGTTGTTTGGTGGCAAAACGGGTACAAAAACTTCTCATCTAACTTTGTTCTACAACCCCAACTTTTTCATACAATATATTGACCTTGGTGGAATCCTGGATTTTAAAGGCTCAGACAAAACCAAAACCACTTGGCGTTAAAAAGGGAAATTATTATTTTGGTTATTTAGGTTACTAAGAGGTTGTGTGATTATATCTGATGCTGAGACGTCTGCTCAGGAAAACCCACTTAACTCACTATTTTCAGTTTTCTCCAAGAGTATCCACGGCTGGGGACCTGCTCAAACACAATTTTGTGATGCTGCAAATGAAATAACATTCACCTCCTTTGTGTTAGAAGCCTGGGTAGACAATGCATTGCAATTCCTGCAAATAAAATTTAACTATCTGAATGAAGGGGGAAAATACCCACTGAATATCAAACAAACCTCAGAGTTTAATACAAAGCCCACGTGTACCATTCATTTACTGTACAAGTGGGAAAGGTCCAATGTCAAGCAAAGTTCTTACTGGTCATGTGGAACCCACAGCGTAATGCAGCCTGTTGGGGAACGTCAGAAGCAATTCTGGGTAATGTACATAGAAAACTTACTACTAACTAAACCGGGAGCCAGTTTAAAGGAAACTGTGCAGAGCAGAAAAGTAAATTACAAGTTAAACATTAGAGCTCAGTAGTACATGATGTTTGTTTAGAGAATGTTCCTTAAAAACACTGTTACTCAGGTTTTTGTGGACTAAAATGTTTTCTTTTCCCACCCTCCCTGTAATCTCTCCAGTCTGCTCTTGGCATGATGCAAATGGTGGAGGACACGCTCATTGAGCACGCTCACACGAAGCCCCTCCTCCCGAGCCAACTGATTCGCTACAGAGAGGTGCAGGTTCCAGATGGTAGGTCCTGTGCTCTCCCACACCACACACACACACCAGTTAAGCACTCTTAACCATCATCCACCAGTCATGCCTGTCTCCACGGTGATCACGCAGAAAGGTTCTTACCCAGCGCTCCTGCCCTCGTCATCAGTGAGGCTGCCGTGTGTTTGTAAAGACTTGATTAAATTCATTTCCCTTGGAGGAACATAACAGTCACTGGGTGGAAATGGACGTCACTGGGCGAAATACGTACACACCCTCCCCTCAGCAGTTCAAGGATGAACACAGACACGCAAAGCACCTGTGCTGCCTTTCATTACATTAGAAAATTGAGTGACGTGGAGAGGAAAAGCAGTGCAGCGCAGGGCCACCTGGAGACATCCTGTGTTTCACCGAGGGATTTTCCAGGCTTGTCTCCAGGCTGCCAGTCGGACACAGAGCAGGAGCACAAGAGAAGGACGTAAAGGATGTAGACGCAAAATTAGCTTATGAAATGAGCGACTGGCTGACAGTTCGCCCAGGAAACGCATTATGACTCTGAGCTGAGAGCTTTAGAGAGTCAGAGAGTTCACACAAATCTGTGGCCATTTAGTCATTAATCTTTGGTAAAGCACCATGAACTGATCGACAGGCTTTTTAATAACATGACAAACACTAGAAAACAACTACGCTTCTTAGTGTTGTCTGTTGCTGTAGCAAAGAAACAAAATATTGACATCTGTAATTTAAATTTAAAATAGATTGATGGGGCAATTAGTTATGTCAGTTTTAATAATATGGTAACACGCCGTATCATTTGGTTGCCTGTCAACGACGTCATATCCCCTATGTACATGGGTTGGAGTTGTGGTTGCCTGCCTGCCAGAAGCTCAAAATGGACCTTTATCCAGTTTTAAGCCACATATACCTTTTACACCTTGGTCGTTTCAACTATATATTTTAACCAGATAAAGGATTTTAGTCATCAGATGTCTGGATCTTAAATTATCAGAGAAAAAATGTTAGGCAGTGAAGCACTTAGCCACTCAGATGTCCTGTGTCTGCCAAACAATGTTGGCGAATCACTGATTTTTTTTCCTTTTAAGTGGAACTGCTTTATTTGATGTTTTATACTGGTTTTAATCCCCTGGTCCATTTGTTATGGAGAGGAGGACACCTCTGCAGATAATTTGGCTGCCGGAAAAACCTCCTGAATGCCTATCTCTGATAACTTATGAACCAATCAAAACAAAGGTTAGCTGCAGTCTCAGCTCCCAACCTTTCCTGGATGTATCATGTCTGCTGTACAGCGTCGGTGAAACATTGACTTTAAATGTTAAACTACTTTATTCAGTGTTTTTAACGGTTATAATCACCTGGTCTGTTTGATTTGGAGAGGAGGAGACCTCTGGATAATTTGGCTCCTGGTAAAAACCTTCTGAACGACAATGAAGGAATCCAAACCAGGAGAAGCTTAGGGCAATGGTAGTGAAGACAACAACTCCCATGATTCCACACTATTTCATAGTGTCACCCAACGCCATCTTTTGTTCTTGTTTTAATTGAGAGACCCCTAGCAACAGAAGTTACATACTGTGTGTTTAAAGCAGTAAGTTGCAGTTTCAGCTCTTACTATGCAGCATGTAGTGTTTGATGGTTGTTATGCTTATGCCACACTGACAGCCTGATAACGTGCTGTAACAAAACAAAGTTCACTCTGACATATGAGCTTAAATTTTCTAAGCTTCACATTAGTGCTTTGATTAATCAAGGCTTTTATCTGTTCTCTTTTATGTTTCTAAAGTAAAGTTAAGTCAAAGTTTCGGCACGTTGAGCAGGGGGGTGGGGGTTGGGGGGTGGGTGGGGAGGACTGTGAGGACTGTGGACGTGACGCTCCCTGAGTGCAGAGCCTGAGTGCTCACTCAGCATGTGCATAAAGGTACCTGCATTACCCACCCTTAACTTGTCCTCCATTCAAAGTGAGTTTGATCACACTGGACTCAAATAAGCTAAAGCTGAACATAAAGGCAGTCTGGTTCTCCCCATGCCAGAAGGGATGGCTCCTCTGAAAGCAAATATCAAGCACAATAAAAAGCTAGAGGAGACCAATTTGAAGCCACTCAGCAAAAAAGCACGATGTTGGCCTTCAGCAGAATGTCTCCGCCTTTCTGGAGAGTGTCACTACTGTCCTCTGTGTGAACTCTCCTGTTTCAGTGTATTACACTCAATCTACGCCTCAAGCAAAGTGCTCAGGCTTCACTGCAGTTACTTTACACAGAATTGATTACATTTTTGACAGACCTGATTATGCACAGAGGAATGGATTATATAGAGGTGTACAGCTAAGCTGGTGAAATTCATTTCAGTTCAGGGATCACTGTGGATTTTGGGTTCATGAGAAGGATTCAGACTGAAACTAGTTGAGCTTGTTTTTGCTCAGTCACGGCATCACATGCTAAGTGCAGCTCTCATCTGAGCAAGACCGAGTCACGTTTGACAGAATCCTGTGAACTTGCACATGCTTTATAATCTTAATTAAATCTGCACACACATAAGAGAAAAGAATTATTGCTCATGTTATTTGATGCTGTCTTCCACTACCTGTTTTATGTTTAAAAACTGGAGCAAGAGATTTGAGGGAAAAGGATTTTTCAGTATTTTTAAACATGTAAAAATTACTAAATATTTTGAATTTAATGTCTTAAATATTTTTCTGAGTACTTCAGTGTCTGTATCAAGATACAAAATGCATTTGTGCTCCTTCAGTTGTGTTGCTTCCTTTAGTCTTCAATTGAAATAAAATGGGAGGTGTTTTTTGTTTCAGAAGCTGAGCCTTTTTCTCTGTTTTCTGTCTGTGTCTGTTTTTTTCAATGTGTTTACATTGTATGATTATAATACAGAGTGAAATGAACAAATATTCCTCTATTCCTCTCAGGTGGCTGGTATGTTTACCAGCAGAGAAACGAGGTGCACAACAACTGTGGCATTGAGATCTACTACCAGACAGATATGCAGACCACCCACGACAACATGCTGCTGGAGCTGTTTTGTCAGATCATCTCTGAGCCCTGCTTCAACACACTGAGAACCAAAGAGCAGCTGGGTGAGCCCAAAATATCATGTTGAACATTACGTTTACACTGTTTTCCAATCTGGATTTCAAGTAATAATGTTGCAGAAAAAAAATGAATTTTTCAGTGAGAATGATGTTGCATTTAGTAATTAGATGCTGCTCTATAAAGAACAGACTGTGTAAGTGAAGTTTCTAAAGTACCGTCAACCATGATGATGTTTAATCATTTGAATAATTTGAATGGATTGAGCCTTGGTTCCGTAAGAATAATGCCAAACCAAATATTAATATCAAGCTAAAGGCAAAGACGGTGGTAAAATGAAGTGATGAACACACTTCACAAAACCCTTCTTGTAAAATGCTTTTTTAAACATTTATAAGGCTCAGCTCATGAACATGAGTATGTGATTGTGAAATTAATAGTTTAGAGCAAGATGGCCTTAGAGCAGATTTTCCCTTACAAGCTAATGTGTCTTCCTACTGAGCTATCTTCTCTCTGTCCCCCAGGCTACATTGTGTTCAGCGGGCCCCGGCGGGCCAATGGAGTCCAAGGGCTGCGCTTTATCATGCAGTCGGAGAAAGCGCCCCACTACCTGGAGAGCCGTGTGGAGGCTTTCCTCTGCACCATGGAGAAGGCTGTGGAGGAGATGGGCGAGGAAGCCTTCCAGAAACACATCCAGGCCCTGGCCATCCGCCGCCTGGACAAGCCTAAGAAGCTGTCTGCTGAGTGCGCCAAGTACTGGGGGGAGATCATCTCTCAGCAGTATAATTTTGACAGAGGTGAGGCATCCCAGCAGCCCACTTCACTGCTAACCCTTGATTATGTTTTCTTTCCAAGTGTATTTAAATATATTTTAAAACCTTTCCTGATCTACCAGCCAGACACCATGAAGAGCTTGTGTTACACACAAAGTCAAATATAAGTTCTTGGGAGTTATCAATATTTTGGTGGGTCCCAGAGGTGAGTGGGATGCTGCTTAGAGCTGCACAAATTAGGATCGATTAAAGCCTGAAATAATCTGCAGCCGTAGCACACCTCTCTGTTGCAGCACTCTCCTGAGTGCCATAATGGATTGTAATGGGCCTGATTCACTGGTAATCTGCCTAAAGCCCTGAGTGATGGCAACACTGACAGTCTGCCAAGGGCGTGGTGGTGATTACTGATACTAGCAGTGATGGAGGGAGGGAGGAGAGTCAGGAGGGTGAGGGCAGCTAACACTCAATGCCAAGGGCACAGAAAAAAACATACAGCACACATCATCAGTCAGAGCTTACAGTCTGCTTCATGGGCTGACTGTGAGATAGAGCTGCTGTTTGTTAAATGCTTCGCTTGATTCAGTATCATTTTTTTTTTACATTTTGTACAAAAAGACTTTTGTTTGATATGATTGGTTTTTAGAAAGCTGAGGTTTACCATTGATCTGTTTGCAGCAGTAGAGGCTGTTGACTGAGAATTGTTCAGAGTGGTGAATTTATTTTCTTGTGCCGTGCTCAACAATTCAAGTTTGTGAATGTGTTTCTTTCACAAGCTACATTATCACAAAATCAAATCCAGGAGGCAAACACAATTGAATATCAAGAAAATGATTCCTGAAATGAGCTCAAGCTAGAGAAATTGGAGGTTTCCACAAGCAATCGATCTGATAAATCACACTGCAAGTTTATTTTTTAAACTCACCGACATGAATCAAACTGTTTGCTGGCTGCAAAGGTGAGCAATAGAGCCTAATTTAAAGTTTACACAGGCTATAATATGTTGGCTTAGAATGTATCTCATGTGTAGCCCAGATCCTCTTTGACATGCTCACACCATAGTCATAATGAGCCTGCTACAACTGATGATGTTAACTCTTGTGTTTTCCCTGTTGTGTTGCAGATAACATTGAAGTGGCATATTTGAAGACTTTGACAAAAGAAAATATAATGCAATTCTACAGAGTGAGTACAACTTTGTCATATGATGGCTCTTCCTTTGAACACATGTGACAGTGAACAGTGGGAGACGCATCCCTGTCCTCCAGTTCAGCTCAAACTGACATCTGTGGTTTAAATTCTGCTTCTTTATATTATATTCCATTTTTATTTAAAAAAAAAAAAAGAAAAAAAGAAAAGAATATATTACAACACCATTCAGCTTCTACAGAGACAAAGGATGATGAAGCTGAGAAATAGTTTAGTTTCTAGAGTCCTAGAGGTTAGAGAAGAGAAGCTTGGGGACCAAAGGGTCAACAGTTCAAATCCCTGGACTGACGGGAAGACACGGCAGAACAGGACTTTCCGCTCCCTCAACATCCATGGCTGAAGTGTCCTTGAGCAAGACACCTAACCTCCCAACTGCTCCCCGGACACTGTACCACAGCTGCCGTGTGCGTGTGTGCGCACGCTCATGGATGGGTTAAATGCAGAGGTAAAATTTAGAGTAGCCGTCAAAGATTTAACTTAATCTCACAAATCTGAACTTTATCTTATTTAATATGGAAATGGCAACATGACTTTACAATGAACAAAGATGAAATGACTCCTTCGGTGCAGTTACTCCACAAACTGCTACAGATTTATTTGAATGGCCTTAAATTATGACACTCATTGACTTTAATTGTGGTACTTTGTGGCTGTGGTTAATGCTGTATTGACAGCAGAGGTGTCATTAGGAGGCAGCTACACACATTACAGCAATAACCCAATATTTAATGACATGGAAGGGTCATTAAATATTTCAAAGGTCCATCAATCATTATTAAAGGCACATTTGGACTGTCTAATGAGAAGTGGTTTAGTCACAATTCTGTGAAGATAAAATTAGCACTGACACAGTCTGTTGTTAATATCTGGTGTCTGACCCCAAACTAAACCTAAAAATTATTGACTGACTTAAACATTTAATTTGATAATAACATGAACTGACAAGAAATTATTTGTTTAGACAGACTGGACATTATTTGGCTGCTGTTATTTATGAAACATCTGGGTGAACGCTCTGTCAGACAATTTGTTGTTTGACTTCCTTCTCGACCTTGGAAACGGCAACATCTGGAGAAAACAGTTGAACCACAAGGTCCATTTTGTTGCTGCTGTGTTGTCCATTTTCCAGGCACTTTAAGAGCTTTTAAAGTTAAAGTCCAAATAAATGAGAAACTGTGAATGTGAATCCAAGCAATATCTATAATTCATTACAGCTGGGCAAATCCATCTGCTGATGAAGGCTTAGTGATATAATTGAAAGCTCCAGAATGCAATTTAAAAATGTACATAAGCGTCATGAGATCTTCTTAGGCTGTCTTCATCTCAGGTCACCAGTTGTTGCACGGTCATTAAGATTTTTTTTTTTAACTACTTCTCTTGAAAGGAATTGGGTTAATGATTCCAGTTACTTTAAAGCTCCATAAATTCCTCTTCTCCTCTGATTTATGTGATTTAAGTGTTGATCCATAAGAAGATATCTGTGGTTTTAAAACCAAAAAACCATCTCAATGTAGTTTTACATCTCCTCTCTCAGGCTTCTCTCTGGAGCTCTAGTAACAACAGATCGGTTGGCTCCTCTGGTTGGCTCACTGTTTTCTGAGTGATTGAATAAAAATATAGCAGCTTTCAGGTAAAACACTCAGAGAAACCAAATCCTGCAAGGTTGGATGGTGGGTCCATGTGGGCGGGGCTTGGGGCATGGCTGAGAGAGGTGACACAAAGTTCCAGAAGTCTCGACTGCTGGTTCAGTTTCTGAATACAGGCTGTGTGCATTTCTCTGTGGACTAAGGCTTTGATACTTTCCCAGTATTAATATAGAACCTAGACCTGCTGTATAATCAAACACATGGACAAATACCTTTATACTGTATGGGACCTTTAAAAGTTTTTACAAAATGTCCCTGCGACTTCTGGTGCAGGTTTTGTATATGTGAATAATCGCTGAAAGGAAAGTATGAGAGTTGCATTCTGTAGAATGATGTTTTACCTTCCTAGTGTAGATAATTGGATATATTGATCACTAGTACAGTAAAAATAGTATCAGACTCTATCAAATCAGTGTTGCACTGCAGTGACTGTATAACAGTTACATTTCTGATGAAATGGCAGCATTGGTTCAATATACAGAGTGAGAAAACCACCTGCACTGTGTGTGTGTGTGCGCGCGCGCGCGCATGGTTTTAGAGGATTCAGTCTGCCCTCCCAGCTTTCATCTCCTGCCTCCTGCTTCTATTCATAGCTGTGGAGGTGACACTGACACAGGGCGCTCACAGCATATCAGCTGCCATAATGACAGCCAGCCAGCCTGTTTCAAGGGGGATAACGGGCCAGAGACACACGGCCGCTGAAAGAATTGGCATTATCTGAGCCCAGCAGAAACCATTACAGGCCCCATGCAGAATAAACCTAATGCATTTCTAATGTCATATCAGCTGCAATCACTTTTTTCCCCTCCACTCTCGGTCACCAGAGTCGATGCTGTCTGACTGCAGATGAGCCAAATCTTCAGTCTCATATAATCCTCCATCCAGAGACAGTGATGAGGCCTGACTGTGTAGCTAAATCTCCACAGGGCTGTCACAACTGATCCCTGACTCAGTGAGAAAAACATGGCCACCCCGGCCACACTGCTCCAAAGAGTCTGAACACATTGATGAGTCATCGCACTAACTGCTGCTGATGGATTCATCTGTTTGTTTTCCCCAAAACTATATGTGGGGATCTAATTAATGAATAAAACTCAAAATCCTGGTTATAGTCTTGATGCCGTCATCACAAACAAACAACAACGTTCCCTGCCACCCGCCGTGCATCATTCCACCTGTCTGTCTGTGTCTGTGCAGGAACGACTGACGGTCGACGCCCCGAAGAGACACAAGGTGTCCGTACACGTCCTGTCCAGAGAGATGGACTCCTGTGAGTACCTGTAGACACGTGTTGGTTGCAATGGCTTCACTCAATGACGTACAGGTATACTTGACAGTGTGTGTGTCTGTTCACCAGGTCCAATAGTGGGAGAGTTCCCTGCTCAGAATGATGTCAACCTGGCTCCTGCTCCCTCCCTGCCACAGGTAACAATCATGTTCTGTATTTATACTTCATTTTTTGTCAAGCTCTCTGCTTTCCTGACAGCTGTCCCATGTTTACTTCAGATTTCAGGCAATGAGAAAAATACAACATGACATCAATCATTTATTAACCTGTAACTGTTTTGTACAAAAGGAAGACACAAAAGATCAATCCGAACTTTAGTGCAGCTTTTTCTGGACAGAATTTTGTGCAAAGAGTAATGAGGCTTCGTGCCAGTCTAGTGATATTCTATATTTTTAATATTCAACAAATCACGTGAAAGGACCAAATTCATCCCATTATCTGTGTCTAAAGCCTGATATGTTATTCCTCTGTCCAAAAAGAAGTGAAAACACATCAGTGAAGCCACACTGTTGCACTGGGGGGGACAAGTTTCTTCATGACCATGAACACACTGTAGTTTATTTTGACTCAGTCCGCCACGCACCGTCCTGCTGCCCCAAATAATCACTAAAGCACCAAATGTGTATTAATCTGCAGAATAAAATAGTCCTGAACGAACGTACTATTACCTCTTGTTTCAGTGGTGTTTGTTAAAAACTACAGTCCCAAGCTGTTTTGGGGACTGTGCTACAGTCCTGGTAGGAAAGTCGAGAGAATAATGCTGGTGTTGTCCTTTTAGACCAGTTCTGTTTTACTGGTCAGAACTGGGAAAGAGCTGTTTGTGTTTCTCAACTAATTTCCCCTGTTTAGAGGAAGTGATTCATGCTGAGTGAAAACAGAACAAATCCATGAGGAAGAAAATTTTGCAGCAGCTGTTGCGGATTAGAGAAAACTGAAGTTATAAAGCCCCTATAGTGTTAAGTAGTTACCATGGAAACGGCATGCATGTAGCTCTTTTTGCTATCAAATGCAGTTTAGGGAGGGTGCAGACAAAGCAGAGTAAGTGTAGATGTGTCTCAGTAGGAGTTTAACCTGCAGACATTTTTTTTTATTTTTCCAGCCCACGTTGGTTCAGGACATGACGGAGTTCAAGAGGAGCCTGCCTCTGTTCCCTCTGGTCAAACCTCACATCAACTTCATGGCTGCCAAACTGTGAGTGAGTCCGGCAGGTCGACACGCAGCAGCAGCACGGGGGCGCCGGGGGGAGGGCGGCCGCGAGGGACCCCGCTCAGTTTCCCACCTACATATCCCCCACCATCCTCCTCCTCCTCCTCCCATCAGGAAGACTCTTATCTGACTGAGCCTGCGTGAGTTTGTGTTTGTGTGGGTGAGTGTGTGCGCGCGCGTGTGTGTGTGTGTGTGCGCGTGCATGTGCACGTGTGGCAGGCTGGGGCCACTAGAAGAGATGCTTGGAAACAAATGCGTGTATTTGAATCACAAAGTTAGCCGTGGTTGTCAACATAGCTGTGATAACAATAGAGGTCACACCAGACTCACCTCATGTTCAAATCTCTAAAAGGAGATGCAACACTCACACGCATCACAATACTGTGTAGGTTGTTGTAGAAGATATAGAAACAACCTGAAAAAAAAAAAAGATGAGGGCCAGATCCCTTTAAACAAGTTTGAGTATACTGCAGAAGCTTCACACTAGGAGGCGTTTTATTTGAATTATTCAGACATGCTGCTTGGAGAATGGATAGCTGGTTTATTGTGATGAGCTGTGGGCTGCAGAGGTTGACCACACTAGGTCCATGAAGGTCTCCTCTTTTTATTTGTCGGACTGCTTTGTTTGCCATGTAACTCTGGGAGGCACCGCGACTCTCCTGAAAACGTTATCACAAAAGACGCACTCGGTTCAAACGGAACATTTTATTCAAATTTATGCATTTCTGAAGAATATCTGCCTTATAATTACGGTTTTAATCCTCGCTGCTTTTGAATTTTTTTTTATTTATTTTTTTTGCTTGTAAACTGGTAAAATGTTGGGACCCTTTGAGGAGCTGTTTTAAATTGCTAATCACAGAGAACCATGCCCGTGGAAATGAGTTTTTATTTTTTATTGCATTTTACAGTAGTGTGTGATTCAGACATCTCAGGGGTACCTCCATGCTGTTTTATTTTTACATTCAATTTTATTAGTGATTTAAAATACAAAACACTTTTATCAGTCTGTCATCTACATCAGAAGTTTGTTCACTAAATGTGATCAAATACTTTTTAGTCTCCAAGTTTTTTTGTAGAACTCAAAGGACTTATTGGCTGTAGAGATGAACAGTTTTATTTTTGCTCTCTGTGTCTGCATGTGAGACATTCTGCAGCTTGTGCCTTTCCAGGGGGGCATCAATTACTTTGTATCTGGCTGCTCTTGGTCTGATCCGGGGCAGAATCCTGGAAGATCTGACACCCCCAACCCACCCACCGCCACCACCCCCACCCCCCAAAGTAAAAATATAAAAAAAAATGCTGGACTGTGCACTGGCTCTTACAGCGTAGATCAAAAAACAAAAAGCAGCTAGACTTTTTCTCTGACAGGAAATATTACACTTATGAAGGGGAGGGTTAGAGAAAAGCTCCGGTCTGGATTTCTTTCTGAATATATGCACTTCTCTCTCAAAGCAATAACTTCAGTGATGTAGACGGTGAACAGTGTGAGGCAGAATGAGATGTAGCCCAGAGGAGCTGGATCCACACTGGTCCCAGGCTCCGGCCTAAACCGCGGAGAGGACTGTGTCTGTTCTGCGTGAATAGTGATGTCAGTGCCGTGCAAGCGTGACCTGCTCTCAGGTGCTAACTTAAAAAAAAAAAAAAACAAAAAAAAAAAACACTGCTGGTAGAGCTGCCAACCACTCTGTTCAAACAGCCAAAAAAAAAGAGTTAGGATTTATTTTTTCCCCGTCTCTCCTCCACCACACCTGCGCTCAGGTCTAGTTCATCGCTCACTCACTCGATGCTGCGAAGATTTAAAGCGTGACTTCAGGTTGGAGAGTTGTAAGGCAGGACCTGTAGGACTGTGCTGTATCTAAAGCTTCTTCAATGTTTTCCAGCATTTTACTACGTCACATCAAAACAACTTCAATCTTTTTAAATTTTCAAATGAGACCCTGTGTCATCGTAAACTGCTACTGCGTTAAAAGGCACTATTCCCTTGTGGTTAAAACCCAAAGACAACCAGCAGCAGGAGCAGCAGCTTGCCTTAGGTCGTCTCTCACTCCCACAGGCAGTAGCTCGACGGCGTCTGCGGCAGTGACGAAGCCGTTTCCATGCAGTGTTCGGAAGAAACTGGCAGCATCACATATCAGGCTTGGATGGGCCATGCACTGTTTACCTTGTGAAGTACCTAGTGATCGGTTTACATTTAGAAAATCAGAAGCTTTTTTAATTTCTGGATGTCTCTGGCAACACGGGACTGCGATTGGCTGGTTGGGTTCATGGGCTGATGATAAGAGTGCTGATGTTTTTGAGTTTTTTCATTGTCTCCTGTGTGTTTCTAATTAATAAACAATTGAATGGAATCAGGTGTTTGTTTTCCTTCACTACAGTCTCGACACATGCACGTCAACGTTGTGGAAAAATACCTTTATTCACAGAACTGGTACCATTTTAACTCTTTAAGTCAGAAGCAACTTCTGTACAACACAGTTCACGCTTGAGACGTCTCTTCTGGCAGAGCGGAGACTGAACGGTGAATGTGCTGGGGAAGCTGTGGTTTGCAGATGGTGGGAGGACATCTGTAAAGCAGGCACAGTTTTACATGTGCAGGTTCAATATTCCAAGTGTTCGGCGTTGCGTCACATACCATAGGTTCTCATGTTTCTCACCTGAGGGGCAGAAAACAGCAAAACACACCACGATTTGCCACATGAAATGAATGACACTGATAGTCACATTATGCTCCCAATGATTTACAACCTCTTTCGTATCATGTAAAGCAACATTAAAGAGTCAGTTCAGAGATAATAAGCCCCCTCTCTCCTGCCTTTAATGAAGATCCAGAGCTTTATTTATCAAGCTTTTTCTCCCCCAGTTAATCTCTTCTGATGTAGTAATAGCATTTAAATATTATAGTAAGAGAAAAGTTTTCATTGTCTACTGAAGAAATTATCCCAAATTAGATTGTAAAAAATGAAAGGGCACATTTTCAATGACATTTATCTGTAGTGTCAGTGTGGAAGCAGAAATCAAAAACACAAACTATCTGCACCACTTGTATTAAGTGAGAAAATATGGCTTGTCATTTGGGTGAACTGACCCTTTAATTTCCACAGGAGTCCTGCCAAAGTGTCAGCTGCTCCAATGACTCATTTCAAATTTCCACTGTCCAAGTTTCACTCGTGTCTGCAACCAACCACAGTCTGACCTGAGCTGCACTTCACACTCAGGCAACACAGCAGTCCCATCACATGTTGGGGAAAGGAGAAAAAAAAAAAAGAAAGGAATTGTATTTTAAATAAAAGCCACATAGAACGAGTCCAAGCGGAGGAGTTTGAGTACTTTCACCCCAATGAAAAGTGCTCCATCCAACATCGTGTGCGAGTCACCCGAAGCTTTAAAAACTGTGTCTCAGTCCCAAATCCAGTCAGTGCAACAAGCTCTGAAAGGACTACAACATCCACACGACCGGTGGAGACGGTCTCATGGCAACAGGCTTCAGGAGCTCAGACTAACCTGAAGTGCTGTGTTGGGCGATGAGCGTTAAAACACACCACATAAGAGCTTCTTGTAAAATGGAGATAAAGCTACAGACATGAACACCGCCAAGGCATGTGAAAAAAAAAACAAAATCAAAATGCAGGGTCTAAAACACACACCTACTTAAACTTCTGATCTGTGGTCAGTGTTAGGGTTTCATAGTGAAGTATTAAGATTCAACCTCAACAGTCACGTTTTCCTCCTGGCCGTAGTTAATTTACTGCATCATGACTCACAACTCTTAAACGCATTTTATTATTTTATCATTAATACATTCCATACACTAAACATTGTTCCTCATTCAATATAAAGCCCCTAACATTGGCAGAGGGGACTTCTCAAATCTGCAAAATAAACATTATAAAACAATCATTTATTAATATTTATAAAACTTTATAATTACACATGCCCCGCATTTTTTTTCCTTTAAAATACAGTTAAGTTTACAGCAAGTATTAGTTATGTGATCGGTGAGACACATCCACCCTGCGCAAGTTCTTGGGAAAGAGAGGTGTGTGTTAATGTGTGTATGTGTAACTGCAAACGTGCTCCAGTCTGTGTCCACAAGTCTTTTCCAGTCTTCACCGAATGAAAGCGTCAGAAGATTAAAAACGATGCGAGGTGGCGGTGATGGGGATCCTTGCATTGAATGTCAGCTCCAGAAGGGAGGAGGGGTGAGAGGGGTGAGGAGTAGGTAAATGAGGGTGACACTGATCCTAGTCTGTTTCACCAGCACTTCCTGCTCAGGGGTCTGACTTGACATGTTCATCTCCTCCTCCCCACCCTCACCCCTTCAGCGGATGGGTGTGTGTGTGTATGCGTGTGTGGTTCGTGGAGCGGTCCTCCCTCTGGACTGCGCCTCCTCCTCAGGCTTCCTCCTGCTCGGGGAAGTTGAGGATCTTACGGTGGGCTTGCCTCAGGTACTGCTGCTGTTTGAAATACACCTTAAACGCTCCCTTGATGGCCACGAATGCGATACCTCCCTGTGGGGGAGAGAGAAAAAAAAAAAAGAAAAAGTTGAGTTTAAAGACACATCAAAGCCTTTTCCTCCACTCCGCTTCAGAAAGATCCTTTCATTTCCACGCCGACTGTCATACGAATGACAGCACCTCACATCCCATCAATAGACAGAGGAGATCTTCCTGGTTGTTTCCTGTCCAGCTGTGAACGGGGACTATTTGAAAACTTTTATAATACTTCATTGTACTTGTTAGCAGATGATCATGTGCCTAAACTTTTGCACATGCCCCAATTTAATTAATTTAATTTTAGTTATGAAATAAAAAGGTGACAGTATTAATATGTGTCAAAAAGTTAATTTGCTGCAGGGGGTGTTTTTACTTTCACTTCAAAAACCAACTAAATATATTAGTTGTAATGTTGTATATTGTTTTTGAACAGAACCTGAGTAAATGTGAAATGTCATCTAGAGGTAACAAGATCATTAAAAACTGTTTATGTGCTGTAAATGTAAAACTAGAATCACCGCCTCACAGTTGTATGTCTGCACCAACCAGCAAAGTAGCAGGAAATATAGTGAAAGTCTCTTCCTCCTGAGTTACAGCATTGAATAATTGCCAGAAGTGTGACATTATATCACAGTGAAGTTGACCTTTGACCTTTTGAATATAAAATGTCATGACTTTTTATCCCGTTAGACATTTGAGATAAATTGCACGTTGCAAAAACGTGTTTTGTGAGGTCACAATGAGCCAGAAGTGATGAAATTCCCTTGGGGCATTCCTGATATACCGCGTTCACAGGTGCGTGAGGTTACTGTGACCTTGAACTTTGACCACCAAAATTGGATCAGTTCATTGCTGAGTCTAAGTGAATGTTTGTGCCAAATCTAAACAGATTTCCTCGGGGTGGTCTTCAGACACCACATTCAACATGCCAAAACCATGTTTCGTGAGGTAATCGCGACCTCAACCTTTGAGCACCAAAATCTAATCAGTTCATCCTTGAGTCCTTGTGAATGTGTGTGCCAAATGGGAAGAAGTAATGTCAAGGCGTTACTGAACTACTGCGTTCACGAGAATGGGACGCACAGTCGACAGACAACGTGAAAACAGAACGCCTCTGGCTGTGGGCGGCGCAGAGGCATAAAAAGCAACTGTATTAATATTTGAAGAAAGGTTCATTTTAATGTCAGATAGCTGCAGGGGTTGTCTTTACTTCTTTTCACTTCAAAAACCAACTAATGTGTAGTTTACCCAGGAGTACCTGAAACCTGTTCTTGAACAGAGGTATCATCCAGAAGTAACAAGATCATTAAAAACTGTTGATGTGTTGTAAATTTGAAAAAAAATGCAAAAACTCACAAATCATCCTACATCTGTGTGTTGATGTCAAAACTTAGTGATGACACTCATGTCTTAATTTTGAATGAAGCCCTGGTCGAGAACTTTAGAACCTAATCTAAGCAGAGTCATCAGTGCGTCCTCCTTCCTGCACACGTGAAACTTCATCATGCCAGAGCTTTCAGTCAGCAGCAGCCTGTCCGTCACTCACAGAGCTCAGTGCGTGAGGACAGAGTGTTCAGTGGTGTCAGTGCAGCCTGGATCACATGAGCCACTCCGGTTACCTCTCTGTCCTCAGCACTAGGTGGGTGAGGAGGTGGGGCCACATGAATGGTTCATATGTTGCAGTTATCACAGAGGAATCATTTATTCACTGACAGTGTGGCTGTGTTCCCTTCAAACAGCAGAACTTAGCACACTTGATTCTGTTACAAGGAAAATGATTCTGACTTTGTTTTGGGCTGCCAATGGTCAGAAGCTCGAATTTACAGTAACAACAATCATATCATGGTCCAGTACTGTGTGACAGGTGAGTGATTCATCATTCAGTCATTCTACAGTTGTGTGCTGCTGAACCCACCAGGATGGTCCTCTGCAGGTTGGAGTTGACACTGCTGAACATGAGCTTCCCCACAATGGTGGCGATGGTGGGGAAGACTAGGGCGCCACACAGGATCCGTGTAGCCGACACATGGTCTGCCAGGGGGCTGGCCTCTGCGGGGATCCGAGGAACTGGACAGCCAATCCCTTTAGAGACAGAAAACAGCAGCAGAGCTGCTGAAACAACCACTGCTTCTCAAGTGGCTCGCTCCATGATATTATGATAAAGACGCTCCTCTAAAAATGTTAGGAGACTTGCGGTTGAGTGGTGGTTGTGTTTCGGTTGCAGTTACACGCCCCTGCTGAGTACAGTTACAGCTTCTGCTCATATTGATTTCACATTGGGAGCAAGTTCTGAATTAAGTCCAAATTCTAAATGGCTGACATTCAAATCAAAAGCATAATCACAACAGAAAACAGACTGACACATTTTTCAAATAAAGGTTAAAAAGAAGAAAAACATTTTTGTGGTTTCTGGTTGTAAACACGATACGAGTGTGTGTGTGTGTGTGTTTCTGTGTGTGTGTGTGTGTGTGTGTGTGTGTGTGCTGACCTGGGAAGATGCTGTTGAGGATCTGCAGTTTGTTAGAATACTTCCTCCACAGACGCAGGACGTAGTCCTCCCAGCGGATCATCTTGCCGAGGATCAGCATGACCGGGATGGTGGGCAGGCCAATGAGCAGGAACAGAGGGTCGGCCCGCTCCATGACATCCAGGCCCTCCTTATGGCCCACCACCTGACAGCAGAGAGCACAATCTGAATGGAAAACTACCGCCGAGAAGGGGTGAGTAAAACTTTATTTATACAGTATCAGTATCAGTACAGAATTAAAAACATAAATACTAAGTGCATACAAACACAACACACATACGAAGACAGAAGCACACAGCAACCAGTCCCCATGCAGGACAAGCCTTGAACTTAAAGAAGTGTGTATTTAGATGTTTTCTGAAACAGTCAACAGGCTCAGCTGATCTAATGTGAGGGTGGAGATTGTTCTGAAGTGTGGATGCTAGCCAGGACAGCAAAAGAGCAGTCTCCTTTGGTTTTCTGTTTGGCACGCGGTGCAGCCAACAGGTTTTGGTTGGATGACCTCAGTGGCCGCTCAGTGGTGTTAAGGGTTTAGTAACTAGGAAATGTAGGCAGGAGGCAGCAGCTAATCCATGTAGTTCCTTTTAAGTGATTAAAAGAATCTAAGAGTCGATCCTGAACTTCACTGGCAGCCAAAGCAGCGAGGCTAAAATAAGGATGATCTTCAGTTCTCAAGATCTGAGCTGCTGCATTGTGAAAAAGCTGAAGACGAGCTAGGGCAGTTTGAGTACGGCAAGAGAAAAGGGGCTTAGAGAAGTCATCAAAGGGAAAAAATCAAATCACAAGTAGATAATAATGGTCTGATTTTTGCAATGTTTCTCAGTTGATGTAGGGGTCAAGTACACCCACACACTGGTGCCATCCAGTCCTTTATAGCAGCTAAACAGGTGTGAACAGTGTCTAGGATTTTCTTTTACATACAGCTGAGTGTTGTCCTAGTAACAAGGACAAAATATACAACCAAATATAAACTGATTATCTGGTCCAAAGGAAGCATACACATAGAGAAAAGAATGGGACTGAGGATTGAGCCCTGAGGCACACCATGTAACAGCGGAGTGGATGAGGAGACGCATCTATTTGACAAATATGATTCAAACCAGTTTAAGGCTTTCCCAACGCAACGCAACTACTTAGTCGATTAATGAGGATGTTATGACCAACAGCATCAAAGGCAGCACTTGCATCAATTAAAATTCAGCCAGCATGAGGATGTCACTTGTGACTCTTCACAACTCAGTTTCAGTACTGTGGCTTTGGCAAAGCCAGATTGAGATTTATCTGAAATATTGTTCTCTTCAACAACTTGAAGCAGCTGCTCCACAACATTTTTTTCCCAATACTTACAATATAACAATACAATATAATACAAGAACTGAAAGGTAATTTCAAGTCTAAAATTGTTCGGAATGGATGGACAGAGGCTGGGTTGTTTGAAAAACATCTGGACACATGCCGTCTTAAAATGATGGGGGTCACAGCCGGAGGTGAGGGACAGGTTTACAACAGTGAGGATAGCCGGCCTATGATAGAATATGGAGGGTAAATATCAAGGTGGCAGGAGGACAGGTGCAGATGAGAAATTGTGTTAATGAGGTTGCGCATGATAATGGCAGCAAATTGGATTAGTACATTTGGAGCAGCACTAGAAAGACCAAAAGAGATGAACTGGGACACAATGTTGGATCTGATGCTGTTGATCTTGTTGACAAAAAAAATGATAAATACTTTTCACAATCCTCAGCTGAAGTGGCAGAGACAGCGGCGGGAGCAGGCTGTACAGGCTGTACAGGCTGACTGATTGTGCTACACACAGCTCAGGGACTGTGTTTATTAGTAGTAATTAATTCTGAGAAGTAAGCTGTTCTTGCATCCTTTATTTTCTGCACATGAAAGAGCTTTTGACTTCAATCAGAAATTAAACATTTAAGTCTTTTTCCATCTGCGCTCAGCTCTCCTGCAGTCCTGCATCGTTTATCTGGGGTGGTGATTTGGCGGCTGATACAGACCTGGTTGTGACAGGTGCAATGGTATCTTTCACCAAGGAAGCACATTATGAAAATCAATGACCAGATCATTTTTGTTAGAATGTATAGCTTCAGGATTTACACAGTATGTGGCATTAACAGCGACAGGAACATCGCACTTAAGAGCACAGTTGTCAGTATAATTGGACCAGAACAGGGACTGAGGTACAGGGAATGTGATTGTAGGATTTTACTTTGACCCCCTTGCTCAATCTTCGTCACTTTACCGTGTGTTTACTGTGGACCATGACAGAGTCGAGGAGTTTGGCGAAGTCACATTTTAGTATTTCAGAGTTCTGTCTGAGGATCTTATCACATACAACATGAAGGACAGCATCCTGGGCGAGTGGGTGATCGGCACATAGAACAACTCTAATGCTACGCCTAACTAAATTTGCTAGGTGGCGCTGTTGCGAAAAACTAGTGTGCCAGAAATGCAATCCTTGGACAGAAAGGAGAAACAGAGGAGCACAAAAAGGCATCTGTGACTTGAAATACAGACATGAGTTGCAAAACTACTTTTGAGTAGATTTTGAGTTTGATTTAATTTGCCAGCTCACAGGTACAGTCAAAGTCACAACACTGACCAGACTGAACAGGCCTATTATAAACCAAAACCCCTCAGGAGGGATCACTGGTCCAACCTGCATGACAGTGACAGCTCCGTAGGTGACAGCAGTCCAGTAGATGGAGCCCACCATGATGCCAGCAGCTGCAAAGGGTCCGGCCTTAGAGATGAGCCGGTCGGCCAGGTCCAGCACGTAGACCACGGGACCTGATGGAGGCCAACAATCAGGTATTAAAGTCAAACGTGCAACTTTTATTTCAAAGTTATTCTTACCACTGTTAGGTAGACAGTTACATTCACAACCTGTGGGCCCTTTCCTGAAAATGACTTGGGGTATAAAATACAGGGCTGCAAATGTTATTTTCATTATTGATTAATCTGCTGATTATTTTTCCAATGAATCATTATTCATCATTATTCATCATTATTCATCATTATTCATCGTTATTCATCATTAATTGAAAATACCTTGTTTTGTTCAACAGTCAAATCCCAAAGAGATTCAATTTACTATCATAGATAAAGACTTGTTCACAATTGAGAAACCATAACTAGTGAATTTTTGGAATTTTTGCTTTAAAAATGATAATTATGTAAGAAGAAAATGATAAACAACATAACATCAAATAATTACCAAAATAGTTGCTGGTTATTTGGTCGACAAATCGTTTTCCGCTCTGATAAGGCTGTCATTTACTCAGCATTGATGCCAGAATAAGTATTTTACAGTAGTGCCCATTTCTAATAAAATCAGAAATGACACACTGGATATAAAGTATATACTACTTATACTTCTGAAAATATAACAGTTTATAAAAATATAATCCTGGTGAACAATGGTGCGCAAAAGATAAAAATTAAAGTGACACAGGAACATTGTGTCACTGGCAAATAGTCAAATACATTTGTGTCAGTGAATGTCTCACCACGCCTAAGATGCTATTCACATGCATAAACACACCGTTTTGTGCATCAGAGCAAATACTTTCTAGAAGACTGCAGACACTGAAGTCAAGTGTAAGGTACTGTGGGAAATACACAGACTAGACAATCAGCTAATGAACAGTGAGTGTTTGTACAGCAGGGGTCATGAGACTCCTGCTGCTTAAACAACCACCTGAACAAGAAACATGAACACATCTAAACTCAACACATATCATCAATCTACAAAAAGAAAGGCACTAGTCATCATTCTTTAGGTGACCTATTCTTTATGCAAAAGTCAGGCTGACAGGTCATGTGACACAAGAACAACCACAGCCTGTCTTCAGGGTGAATGACCTGTATTATAACAACAGTAAGAGAACTGATGACACAAGGAAACTCACACTAAATAGACAACATGTGATCAGGCATTCTTCCAGTCCAACAAGAAAAATTACAACAATGCAGTCAAGTGAAAGTACAGTTTCTTCTTCAAGGCTTTAACCAAAGACTGAAGCATGTGAGGTATGGTGCACACCTTGTGTTGTGTTGACAGAGAGGGAGGAGGCTCTCAGGCGGATTCCACCTCGATTAAAAATAACCGGGCTGATCTTGACAAGCATGTAATAAGGATTAATCTGAAGTCTTTACTTCCCTTCCTGACATCAGGGGCAGGACCCCAAAAAAGGACCCCGCTCCAGCATTCCTGGCTGACTCGGGGGAAATCATGCAATATTTACAGGAAGGCAACCTGATTTCCTCACTCAGACAGACCCATCCACATCCTATTAATAACTAGCCTGTGAGTGGGAGGAGAGCTGGGTGGGGATGCTACCAAGGGGACCAAGCACAGAACACAGCACTGGGCCTGGATGTGTTGCAGTGGAACTCTGTAGCTGCAAGATGAGATCCACAGCACACAGCAGTCTGGGTTTACAGGCCCTGAAAACCTATTTTCTCAAACACCTTCTTGCTATAATCAGTGTTGTCCTACATATACACAACATGTTCTGCCAAAGTACGAACAGTTTTGGGTATTTCACGAGAGATTTCTGTGACTGACCAATCACGAAGCGCTGCGCCCCTTAGTTACAGTTTATATTCTCAGTCAATTTTCCATTCTCACATTTGTGCAGTTAACAGTAATAACAGTGGCAGGTCTACATCTCTAAATTCCTAGTAATCTTTTCAACAATTCGTCCTTGGTTTCAGACAAAGGTAAAACTTATTTCTAGCAAAAATGGTTGATTTTGTCTGCTGGAATGGTGACTGTCAGATCTGTCAGATTTTATTTGTTGCAGCAAGCTAGCTAATTATGCTAACGAGATCAGTAGGTCGGTTAAAAACTCTGTCTCTGGTTGACATTTTAATATTTCCAGACAGATAGTTTTATCAACAGCCAGTTAGTCTTCCCATTATAGGTATAAAAAGGAAAAATGCAAGTGTAAATATTTAGTAACAACTAATCTCTATGTAAGAAGCCTTTTGTCTTGTGAAACCTGTTTTAATTTAGTGATGCATAAACCTCAGTCTCTTACATCAGAACTGGGCTAAGTTTGAATTCTGGAGTCGGTAGCATCAGCTGTTCATAAGTTCAAATATTGTTGATATTTATATATGAATGTGAGGATATTATTATTATTATCCAGAGAAACAGTCTCACATATTTATAAAACTGGTCCAAAGGTCAGCAGGCTTTCTAACAAACACACTCGTCTCTCGAGAGGGGTGACATTTCCAATCACATTTTTAAAATAGTGATTTTGACACATCTTGTCGCATTGAGTAATAAAGCTGTGAAGTGGCATTAAAACAGTGCTGAGTCATTGGTCATTGTGAAAGCAGGACTTGGTTCAAGAACACTTTCCCCTCTGGCCATGTCAGCAGTGGATTGATAAATATATTATGCTGTTCATTTATGCTACAAGGCAAGAAAAAAAAAAAAAAAAACAGATCGACCATGTAGCGCAGAAAGCTTGGTAAGCCTTGGTAAGAGTTAACGCAAACACCTCAGCAGATACATTTTCATAAGCCTGCAGAGGAAACCAAAGCAGTGAGACCAAACTGTAACATCGTCTGACTACAACATTTACCTACACATGGAGTGTAAAAAGAGCAGCAGCTTTCTAAAATAATTCTGAGGATCCGTGGTTATTTTTGGGTTTGGGGTTTTTACAGTTTGAACATAAGACAGACTTTATCAAGATGTTTGTACAGCCGGGCCACCAGGAGGCTGTTACCCATAAGTACTTGCCACAAGTTGTATACAATTCAGCCACTGTTAGCTCTCCTTCTACAGCTGAGTACATTCACTGCTCATGCTAAAGGTCTGTCTTCAGACAGCAGTGCTCCAGTCCACTTGTTGGGGAAGGAACCCAAAGCAAGCAAGAAGCATTTGGCCCTTTTAAAGCTACTTAACTCACAATGGAAATATCCCACTTTTATCTCTAAAGTAGTTATAAACACAGTGGCTCTCTCTTGTCTACTGCCAGTCCTTTGATGCTGTCCAGAGCTCCCCTTTACTGCACCTGTGTTTCCCGACCACATTGATCTTGCAATGCTTGAGCGCATTAATATGGCATATTTTGATGACAGCGTTGGAATCTCTTCCGCTCTCTCCCTGCCTAAGCATTACGACATCGCGGCTGGAGAGAACTGGGTCGCCCTTAATGGCCACTGGCAGGACGGAGAGCTGAGCAATTCATTTCAGCCACTGGCAGCAGATTCCATAATTAAGATAATTAAAAGGGAGGGGGGAGTGAAGGAGTGAGGGGAAAAGTGCAACTGCAGTTCTTCGGTAGTGGGCACGCATGCTGGCACACTGTTCCAGCTGGCTTGTTTACTCTCTCTAGGCAGAGAGTCCATAAAGAAGAAGGAGCAGCAAGGACACACCGTCCTCGGAGTTGTATTGCCAGCCAAATTAGCATGATAGGCTGGCTTTGGCTCTGCAGCAGGTGCTGGTGGGAATACAGCCAGAATGGCATATAGCTACCCTGCTCTTTGTGGGCTGCAGTGTTGCAAGCTTCTTTCTCTCCTGCGCCATAAGTCAGGGAAAACAATCAAAACCTAGGTTAATAGAAAAGGTGATCTGTGGCTCCTGAACAACCCCCTATCTGATCTGGTGGCAGACAGGGGGTCCCACAGTGAGCAAATCATGAGTCATACCTGTCAAACCTGTAGAAATGAGCCGGCCTCAGCAGCAACCCTAAGAAAGCAACCGCTGTGGCAGCTTCCCCTCAGTGCACCCTGTCTCTACCTGTCCACAGCTTTGCCACCGTCACCTAAATTGAAAGCTGTCATCACAGTGTTGTCACCAAGCTGTGAAATTGCTATTATTCTGAGGGCTAATTAAAGCTGCTGCAAATACCACAGCTAGTGAAGTCAGGCCAGTAAAATTGTATCCAAATATAAACACTTGTCTATGCTTTAAAGTAAAGATGGTACAGGACTTGGCTGTCTGAACAACATGCAAATAATAAATACAAGGTATCGCCGTGTCCGTATAACCATAATATAGAAAGGCACGGTTGGAATAAAAAATGGGAAAGGAATACTGCAGCAATGATGCAGCAAAACAGACAATGCTGTACTCCTCCTTGTCTCGTACAATGCTGTACTAGACAAGCGTGCTAATGCCCAGCATATCCTGCAGCTACAGACTGGAACTCCTCAGATGTACAAATACTATCTCAGCTAAGAAATGAAGAAATTTACTCTCCTGTATTTATGAGAAATAGACATTGTTCATCAGCTATAAATAGACAAATTAAACTCTTGTTCTCATTTGCCTACTGTGTAAAAACTGAATGCAGATGTGATATAATGTGTTTCTAGATGTTTGGTTCAAATGTTTTCATGCTGGTTTAGTTTTCAGAACCCTGTGGCTTACTGGAGGATGAATGTCAAATGTCAAATTACAGCAAGTAATGGAAATTTAAATCAGTCCTGCACAAAACAATCATGATGTGGTAAAATCCATCAATGTGGAGGTCCAACTAACAAACCCAAATACTTTGCAAATGCATTTTGACATCATGCGGCGCCAAAGATGCAAAAGTAGCAAATCAGACTGCAGTGTTTGCATGGAGCGCTCGGCAGGAAAGGTTCCCGTCTGAGGCACATCCTGTTTAGAGTCTAGAGATGTCACCGTCACCGGGCAGAGTTCTAATGATGTGTGAAATGTGATGTTGAAGTCACAGGGAAACACTGGAGGACAGCTGTGATTTTATGGATTCATCAGCAGAGCGGCAGCGTCACTCCACTCATCTCCTCTCAGCCTTTGATGAGCTGCTCCGTCGGCTCCTCCCGTGACCCACTTTCACTCCCTGTCCGCTCTCCCAGACACATCCAGCATCCCTGCGCAGCTCCCTCACCACCTCTGTCTGACACTTGCAAATGGGATTAAGAAAAAGGCACTTTTCCCTGTGGTGGGAGAGCCTTTCAGGTACACTCAACAGGCTCTGTGCATTTAACAAACCGCTGGTCCTCTTCCTGCCCAGATACATTCAGTGATTTTCAGCTGCTAGGGGGAAAATTAAGCCCTTTCTCATAAGGGCACTGCTTAGAAATCTGTTGTTTGTTTGGTTTTATTTCTTCAATAAAAGTAGAATGATTTTCCAAGCATTGGTAGGTTACCTGCCACAGGACTTAACCAGACCCAGCTAAGGTAGTGGGTTAGACATTTAAATCGACACACTAAAGCTCATTACTTCATTTCCAGACAGTGCACTCTTCTATCCATTAACAAAGTGGGAACAGGTGGACCTAGATTTACTGCCTCTGCAAACCAGTCAAGTTACAGTTTACATCGTGACTGTGGAGACTCATATAATGTATAAGTGAAGGAATCAAAAAAGGTTTAAGTTTATTTGCAGAACAGTATGATGGCACAGTGAAGTTGACCTTTTGGATATAAAAAGGTGTGTCAAATATTGTCTAATATGCATACGATTTCTTGAGTTATGGCCAAATAAGTACCATAGTACTTGATGTACATATGGACAGACAAAAAACATAATGCCTCCATTCTCGTCTTAAAAAAAAGCATAAAAATGTAGCACTCTCTCAACTCTCTGGAATAGATCTCTCCTTCCAGATTTAGGCCATATTAATAAAATTAATATACTATTATTTACAAAAGTATAGATATCCCACTGACTCCCAGACTGTTTTAAGTCTTAGCAGACAATTCTCTCACTTAAAAATGCAAACTAACTTTTCTCTTGATTGGCTTCCAGTTAGATGTACAGCGTCCTCCACCACATCCTCACACTCTGTCATCGACACTGAAGGGAAACCAAAGAACGTTACACACGACTAAATCAAAAGGTAACACAAGCCTCTGGTTGCTTATATAACCAGAGGCCATCAATCAGTAAACTGGACCACAGTAGAGAGGAAGTTCCCTTTCAAAATAAACCACTGGCCCATCCATCACAATGCTCTATTGCTGTTGGCCAAACCTCGTGAGGATTCACACACGCGACAAGCGGACACAAACTTCAGAGTGGGCATCAGGAGCTGATGAGCTCGAGGTTAAACATGTTAAATTCTGGCCTACAACTCTTTTTTATACCCAGCTGTTATAAAAATAAGAGCTGGCCAAGAATAACTAACCACAAACACACAATGATGTGCCACACTGTGAGAAAACACTGATGCAATGTGTCTAAATCACGACTTCAAAAGCTACTGTGTGAAACAGAGACTTGATTCATAATGTGTCTTGAAGCCAGAGCATGTGAGTGAGACTAACATTAGATAAGACAAACATGTTTGTATATCCCCTTTGAACATTCTCTCGGACTGAAATAGAATCAATTTACATCCAGTTTAGCTTGAGTTTGAATATTATTCTAAATAATATTTGATTAGTTTCTGAACAGGCGAGTAATACATTAAATTGGCAAAAATCAAATTTCAGTGAGCTTCAAAATCAAAAACAAAATTCATTTGTTATCTCTCCCAGTAAGATCTCTTTGATTTCAGCACCAAAACTTTTTTAAGTAGTCATCTGTTAGGAGTAATAAAACCATACATACAGTAAAAGGAATATCCTGTGTATCCCTAACAATGTGCCCCAGTGTAGCCGACAGTACCTACTTCTTTTTGCCATGTTGCTTGGCAACCAGTCAGGCATAGCTTCACTGCAATTTCACTCAATCACTACACATCACCTTTGTGCTTTCATCTTTGGTATGAATCGATGCATTCAGAGTTATTCTTTACCTGAAACACCAAACACTCCAAGCTGTTTATGTCGCCAACACATTCACACTAAGTAGTGTAAATCTGATTTCTGTGACTTCAATTAGTTCAAAGTTCAAAACCGTCTCTTCAACTGATAAAACTCAAGTGAATGTGGTCAAAAATACTACAAAGGTATGGATTAATGGCAGCAGACAATTGGAGTCATACAGTTACATTAACAATGGCTCCATTTTATTCAAGTGTCCCAGTAAGCCATGAGCCTGAAACTGAAGCAGTGAAATGGAATTCAGCCATCATTCATTTTATTATTTACACCTGTGCTTTTACTACTGTAACAAGTCAAAATGTCTTCTGTGAACAGCCTTCATTTAACTTGGTAAAATTTCAAGTAATGACTAATGTAGGTTTAAATACCTGTAAACACAACTGTTGTAACTTTATTTTATTATGGTCGAGGTAGATGGCCGCCCACCCTGAGTCCGGTTCTGCTTGAGGTTTTTGGTTTTTGCCTCTAAAACAGGAAGTTTTTCCTTCTGACTGTCACCAAGTGCTGCTCACGGTGGGAATTGTTGTGTCTCTGTTATTATAATCAATATTACAAAGAGTATGGTTTAGTCCTGCTCTATATGAAAAGGGCCTTGACATGCTTTCTGTTGTGATGTTATATAAATAAAAATTGACTTTATGTTATTGAAGTAACCTAGAAATGTCATAGATCTTAATCTCTCCAGACAGGCATCATGTCAGAAATCATGCTGTACATTTGTGGTCATAACTGATTCAACAATATCAGTGCACTCGGTGCAACTGCAGAGCTACAGTCGGACCCATACTGAAAACTCCTTATTGAACAAGACCTACTTTTAATTTCTTTCTCCTGTTAGGCTCTAACTCAGCTGTTTAAAAGATCTAACCATTTTCATGAAAACTACTAACTTAGTTTTGGAATGTAATGCAATGATATATTTTATTTATTTGTGAGTCAATAACTGTGATATTTTAATGATATTTAATGACTCAACACATTTAAGTGATTTAATTACTTAAATGTATTGAGTCATTAAATTCATTAATATATGTAATCCGGGCCTGTTGGGCTGTTCTATTAGATGTTATTTTTTCTGACTAACTGACAGGCCTATTGGGACCTGTGAGCCAATTAACACGAAAACATCAATACAAACAGAAAAAAGCCAGGCAGACACATTCACAAATACCCAGCAAACAGCCAAGTGTCCAGTAATCAGCTCTCAGAGGGCGACAAACATACACAGGTTATTTACTGAGGAGGAGGAAGTGTTTAAAGAAGCTGAGCTGAAACATTCTGCTTATAGCACTAAAGTGACTGACAGTGCAGCCTTGGTCACTATAAATAAACATGAACCTGTTTACCAGCCGGGCCAGGCCTCCTGCAGACATTGTCTTAAGGCCAGCTCCTGTCTCAAATTGCAACTTCTCTCCCTTTGAGTTTGACATGCAAGTGGCCCAGTGGCTGATGGGTAAACAAGTCACAAGTGTGAACTACTAACCTGAAATCAAGTCTTCATATTTGGCAGGAAAATTTAACAATGGGATTAAACCAACATTATTCTTCCTGCTGTATCTGGAATATTTTTCTGTTACAAAGGATGAGGACAAGTCAACCGTCGTCTTATAGAGGTATGAAGGGATCAGAGACAGAGACACTGAGACGTGAGCACTATCTGACCAAATAAGCATGGCAGTGTATGGTGTATTTTCATTAGATGAGTCATGGCTGGTGTTTGGGAACAATTGAAGCCCTCGTCACTCTGACGTGTTAGGATAATTGAGGTAGTCACTCCTCTAAAATGCTGCTGGTCAATCAGCCAGGAGCCCGGCCGTATAACAAGCGAGCGCCCTTCTGTTCCTTGTCAAGCTGAAAGGAAATGTTTACCCAGATCACCACAGAACCTATGCTGGTTCCGGAGTAAATAAACATGCACTCAGGCAAGACAAACTGAATAGCTCTCAGAGTTTTGGGTACAGTTACAGGCAGCAGCTATTAAGAGTGGCCTCAAAGAGGCGCTTCAGCAGACTATTCACATGGAAATTTGCTCTATAATGCTGCTTCAATGTTGACAGCTTGGGGAAAATGAGAGCAGTAATTACATTTTGAAAGAACAGTAAATTAAATTCAAACTTATGAGTTAGAAAGGTTATGGCACTTTCTCAGTATAGTATTGGCAACCAGCTGACAGGCAAAGTTTTAAACTGTCTTCTTAGTACCATACCATGTGGTTCACACACAGGATTGGAATTTATTACAATTATTTGTACAACCTTATCAAATAATTTTAAATTACCTGATCCTAATTATTAATTATAATGAATTCGAGTCCTTATAACCCCTCTTACTAATCAGTAATGATCCATTAGCCCTACAAGGCAACATAAGCTGTAGGCTCTTCAAGGTCATCTTGTCATTTCTAAGTCTTCTACTTATCTCCCCATCCCCAGTTTTATCCCTTGCGAGATGCAACCCACCCAGTTTGGGAAAGACGATGAGGTATTCTGCATTGCATTGTGGGCAGGCCACGCGCGCCGTGCTGTTGCCCCGCTGCTTTTCATCCACCCAGCGCTGCAGACAGGCCTGGTGAACCCACTTGGTGGAGCCACGGCAGTGACACGGACGCACCCACTCTGCCGTGCGGTCGTCCTCGTCTGTGGCGAAGCACACCCAACAGCTCCTAAAAACAAACACACAAAGACTGGGGATGAGGTTGTCGATTTCCAAATGACAGTTACAGTACATCAGTTTCACACTTATTTCCCTCAAGTGTGAACAAAAAAAAAAGCTGACAACAACGAATAATGTGATTTCTAAAGACAGATAAACAGATTAGACAAAGCTTCTGCACTTCTAAATCAAAGTGGTGTGATAAATACCTTTGGCTCTAGCTAAATAAAATCTAAGCAGAGTGCCTGCCCACTGGCACTGACAGAATAGGCAGAGGCCAGCTCGAGAGCCACATAGCAAAATAAACTGCCTACCACCTATGACTCTACATTCTATTTCAATTAAAGGCTTTCAATTTATTAATAAATAAATACCACTGTAGTGAACTAATTTCACTATGTTCACTGTCATGAGTCCATGAGTATCAGGACACATCTGAGGATAAAGAAAAGTCTACAATTACCTAAAGTCACTGAGGCATGTGTGGGAGCATCTGTTTGTTTGTGCATGTAGAGGAGAGAGTGACAGAGGGCAAGCAAGACTAATGTAATCTTTTCATGTCTCCTTTGAGTGAAAAGCAGCGAATCAGCAGCGCAGAGTAACTTCAAACATGAATCAAAGGTTTGGGCTTAGATCAGGTTTATTTGGACTTCTTACTGAGAAGTGTTGCTGAGGCCATTTTTCACCTGTTTGAGAATAATGGTGGAGGCAGTGATCAAAGTCTCCGAAATGACTCCAGACTAAATGGCCTAGATGGAACACACAAACGAACACACGCATGCGCGCACACAATCACTTTGGGCCAGTGACTCTGCATGAAATCAGCCAAGATCAATACATAAACCCTATAGGCAAACAAGCTGTGATGCTGACTGCTTGTCAAGCATATCTGACAGCACTGCAGGAAGTGTTCAATGCACATGCACACACTGGGTCAAACAAACAGGCCCTTCATCCTGCCATCTGGACTCAAGGGAAGAGATTTCCAAGGGATTAGTTTTTAGATCACATCACAATGTCAGATTGCACTTACTATTAAAAAAAAAAAAAAAAAAAATCAATACTTTCTTTGACTACAGGGGGACAACCTACACTTCACTTGTGCACCGTTTCTTGTGGCTGAGTTCTTGCGTTGCCTGTAGTTTGAGCTACATCCTCCTGACATTGCCTTTAGAATTAATTACACTGCTACTAAAACCTAAATTCACCAGGGCATCCCTGTGAGTGTGAACACAATATTCTGATAAGGCACTGCTTGGATGTGCAGGGAAAGCAGAGGGGGACAGGACAGGATGCAGTCAAACTGAGGACAGAGTCTCCCTTTTGGGTGACATCCAGACAAATGCCTCGTTCTGGCCTCAAGCCAAACCATATTAACAACCCCCACTCCTGCCCACAAGTATCCCAACACATCCTCCTGCCTCTCCTCCCTTTGGCGTAAACTGTTCCTAAATTAGACAGAGGTATGAGGCAGGAGGAGTTGACTTCCTCCAACTTGTGCCTCCTCACTTACAAGAAAGGAGCCATTTGAATGTTTGGCCTGTCTGCTGTGCTATCGTCCAATTAATTGGACTCCCTTTGTGAACAATACACACCCCTCACCCTCCTCTGACAGATATCCAAGTTCCTTGACCTTACCCCAGTACATCTCCAACTGTGACATTATATTGCTTTTCCATAATTAATAAGCAGAGTGTGACTGGTTGGAAGGTTCACCACCCCTGTGTCTCACTGCATGCGGCCAACTTCAAGAATCTAGTTACATTCTTATTTTAGCTGCTATATACCAATCATATTAGTCATAGGTTAGATGTGAATAATTGGTCTGAGAAAATCAGCAACACAAGACCATCACTACCAAACTATGACAAGGGAGCTGGTTCTATTGGTTCTAATAAAAACCTAGGAACAAATGCAATTTTTGTTTGATAATTTTTCAAATTAAAACAAACTCATAAAAAAGAAAACAAATAAAATGCAAATTGTGAAGATTTTCTCGTTCAGTTGTGCCTGGGACAAGCCTGTTGCTAGGAGGATCTGCTGGGTCAGAAGCCGACAGCTGCCTTCGACCCAGTTACAGCCCGACTATCCGTGTGTGACATTTACGTTCTCATTTTCATAATTACACTGAACCTTGAACAGCTGGCATTTCACTGGATGAATGAAACAATGATTAGTCTACACACACACGCCTCCCATAAACCCCTGGCAAAAATTCGGTGCAGAGGGAGACTGTAATAGAGCCGTTTGTTTTTTCTCTCAGGCTATGATTATGTACATTTTGGGCCATTATTCAGATTAGGACATTTGTGCTACTAAATCTGTGAGAAAAAAAACCTGGCAGATTATTACTCAGAGTCCAGGTTACAGTGAGCACCTCCTCCACCATCAATACGCATTATCATGAAATCTACATTTACACTCAGGTCTAAGTTTATCCATTTCATAACAGTCATGTCTTTAACAGGTAACAGATATGCCTGGAATGGAGGAAACCTGCAGCCTTTTTACTCTCACTAGGAAGTAGGAAATGTTTATTATCAGATTATCAGAAATATCCAACAGTGGTATGAAGTACAGGTCTAATTTCTAAATGTATTCCCAGAATCAAGAAAGTCCAATAACCCTTAAATGGGATTTATGGGACGTATGGAAACGTTCTGGTGGTTTTACTGGTAATCATTACACCAGGAAAAAATGTTCACCATACATTCCCAAAATGATCCACTGCCTGCGATTGCAACTATTCTGCCATCAATAACCTGTTTCATTTACATTTTGATTTGCCCTGATATCTGATGGGAAGACATTTTGTCTGCATGTCTGTGATATAACACAGAAAACTCTGAAAAGATGGTTTAAATCCAGTTTTACTGCTCTATGCCTTGTTGGCAGTTCAACTGAGTCATGGCAACCACCATGACTCACTGTGATAGAGACATCTGTCAGTGAAGGCAAACAAGCCCCTGGACTGTCTCTTATGGAGAATAACAACAACAACAAAACAAAAAAAAATAATCAAAAATGCTTTTTAGAGAGAGGTTGGTGGCTTTTATAATCACAAAGTTTTCTGGGTGCCCACCTCTAGCAGCACTCCCACATTGGCTTCAGTCGCTGACTAAGCTAATCCCCATAGTACACTGTGTGTGGACATTTCAACCCTCCCACAGTTGAATAATGGATGTCAAATCTGCGGCCTTCTGTCATCGTCATGCTGAGGTCTAGGTGTGCTCTGTTACTAGGGCCACAGGGGAGTAGAGGGGGGTCCTCTGTGAAAGACTGCGGATGACCAACTGGGATTATTTGCTCGGGTTGCTGCCCGCTTGCAATGGATGATTTTCCAATACTCCCCTGATGCTGAATAAAACATGACGATGCAGGAGAGGCGCCCTCGGTTCGAGGCGCTCAAGTAACATGACCGGCTAAAGGACAGAAACATTGAGCCTCTATTCACACTTCTGTCTGCTGTCCTCATAAAAATCAGCCTGTAACAGGTCACCTCCCCTTTGCCTCCGACAGGTACGGCAGCCTTCACCATACTCATAGCTGTCTGACACTAAAACACAATTTTTGCACTGCAAAGCTGGCAAGGCTAATAAGAAAAAATATGCATTCAATGTCCTACACTGAGGGGCTTAATATCCCACAAGACAGCACAGAGAGTGAAAGCGAGGCAGCTATACAAAGTGAGGATGAGCAGTTGAGTAGAATATTGGACAGATGTCTCCAGAGGAGCACGACAGCAGAGAACAAAGCCCAGAGCTCCCTTAGATTCACTGGCTCCTATTCCTGTAACCCAGCCCCACTGCATGACAGGACCTAATACAACAGCACTGAAATGCTATCCTCTGTGTGAAACTTTAATCTCTGGCTCGATGTCACCTCAACCCTGTTTAACAGAACAGTCGGGCAGATAAGCCCACGCTGCACATGTACAAAATGGTCTCCTTCATACAGAGAATGCCTGTGCAATATGACATGAAAACTGGCTTGTAAAACTATACATTTAAAACAATAGACAGCAACAAAAGTCAAACCAATGTTTACAACAATCTAAATCAGACTGAATTAATGACAAGCTTATCAGGTGCAGCAAATACATGTTTGCTGGCGATTGTACAATGTGTTCACAACACATATTCAAATATTTACGCTCCAAAAAATGAATCCCAAACCTATGGATACATTACATTGAGAGATGCTATCACATCTGGCACAATCCCGTTGTTACTGTCTAACAAGGTCTGGAAGGTTTCCATCAAAACGTCCTTCAAGAACATGAGCTCTGATGATGGCGACTTGCCTGCACTCCACTGAAGCAAGGTGACCTGCCATCTCCTCCGCTTATTTACTTGTTCAACAGGCAAAATCAAGAGGGGCTTTGCTGTTTCCACAATGAGCTTTAATCCACCTAATGCTAACCAACTGCTTTTGAAACTTCAAGGGCAGGCGAACAGCAGTGTGTATTATCCTTTTTATTTTGCCAGTTATTCTGAAAAACCTTCAAGCTGCCAGGATCAAAAGAATGTGCAGCAGTGGAGGACTGTAGATCCTTTCTGTAAAGCTAGGCCAACATCATGTGTTCTACTTCAGCCCTGAATGGGATTTTGACAATCTGAGAAAGTGCAGAACTGTATCATAAAGTCACACAGACACGGGGGGTCTGATGGTGGGCTCTGAAGGAATACAGGCTGTCAGGGTGATTGACACTATGTACAAAAATGAGTGTGACCGCATAGCTACTTTCTCTCTCATAGTCTCACAAGTCAAGCTCATGTTCATTAACAAGTGCATAAGCCACCCTACAAAAGGTGCCTTTCACTCAGCAGAGGTCACATGACTGTGGGAAAACTGGGGGCTTCTCAGCACAAAGGCAGGGTACAGGAGCACTGGATTCTGGCCTACAAACATAAAAGTTAAGGCCTAGGGGGCTTCTCCATGTCTGACTGCTTCTACTCATTCACAAACTAATCTTGTCCATGTCAATTAAACAACAACCCAGGGTGCTTG